CACACAGTGTGTCAATCTACATTAGCAGAGATGGGTGGCCAGATCACAGGAGGTAAAGAAGCCCAACCAGGAATGGGTATAACCTTCAAAAGCCTGCTCCTGGAGATCCACTGTGACAGCCAGGCTTCACTTCCTAATGGCTCCACAGCCATCTAAATAACACTGCAAGGAAAGGACCTACCACTCTGAAACATGAGCCTGTGGGAGTTATTCCAGAGTCTAACCTTAACAACTGCTTTGATAAAATTTGTCTTGTCTGGGCAAGGTCAAATAGGCAAAATAATATGCTTTGGCACCTCAGATATAATTTTATTTCCCTCTTTTAAATATTTTATTTGCTTATGTGACACACCGTCTCATGTAGTCCAGACCTCAAGCTCACCATATAGACAAGGATAACCTGGAACTCCTGGCCCTCCTGGCTCCACTGCCTCCTAACTTTGGGATTGCAGGAGAGTTTGCCACTGTGCCTGACTTTAGATGTGGCCGGCTTTCTTCTACTCTGAAGTCTCCCATCATCCCTTCTGCTGCTTCTGAACTTAACAAGTCCCAGGTCAGTGAGACTCCCTGTCTAACAAAAACAAAAAAACAAAACAAAACAAAACAAAAAAACAGTGAATGCACTTGGCATTGATCTCTGATCTCCACCTGCTTACAACACACATACAGGCCAATAATTTTACTTTGTTAAACAAAATAGAATGCCTTTTTTGTATGATTTTTTTATTCTTGGCATTAGTGGTACGACACATTAATTATCAAAAGCCACCATTTGTGTGCAGAATGAAAACAGAATATAAGCAGTAATAAATGAATAAAAATGAAGGGAGCTATATTAAAGAGAGAGGAAAAAATAGCTTTGGAAAACAGTATTTTGGCTAAATAATATAAAGCTGAAAGAAGAGAGGAGGCTTTTCACAAATACTGTACTACAGTAATAAATGTCTTTCCACAGGAGATGGGTGACAATTCCATAAGTATATTATATGTATGTCAGGACTGAACACACGGTGAACTCATTATAATGAATGACATCGAGTTTCTCACTGGTAGAGAAAGAAGACACAAAAAGGGCAAGCTGGGCGTTGCTCGTGGAGATGGACTGGGAGGAAGGTACCAGCACGTCCTGAAAGCTAAGCAAGTCAAGTCTGGAAAGAGAACCAGCAGGACTTACACTTCCCACCTACACACATGAACACAAATCAGAGATAAGGAGAGGGCTTACGATTTGTGTGTTACTTCCTGGCTCTACCTGCTGAGAGAATGTAGAAGCAAAGACATCCTAAAAATCAACCACTCCTATCATTACAGAAACCAGGGAGCACCTAGGAACCTGAGAACACCATGAGCCTGGAACACCATGTAGGGACAGAAAATAACATAAACCTAAAAAAGATGTTGGGGGAAAGGAGTGACAAAGAACCTATCTAAAGGAACTTCCAGTGACCAAATATGAAACAATTTAAGCAACAACAAAAAAAAAAGTACTGAATTAGAATGTATAGAACTTCCATAAACTGGAAAAAAGGAGAAGTTCCGCACAGCTTCCACACACAAAAGGACAGTTCACACATTAGATGGGCAAGCATGAAAGAGGAAAGAGGACAGTAACCGCAATGCAGCAGTGCAGCAGTGCAGGCGCCAATGCAGCTGAGTGTGGGGCAGCAATCTGTGACCCAGCACTTGGGAAACTGAGGCAGGAGGACAACTCTGAGATCAAGGTAAACCTGAGCAAAACAGCAGGATCTAGACTGACCTGGAGACACACTGAAGCTTGTCTCAAACAATAAATGGAAAATAAAATCACCAATAGATAATAAAATAATGGGTCTAAATTTAAGCTACAGTATAGAAACAGTCTTGACAAAATAATGAAGGTCATCTCAATGGCACACACCTCTGACAGGATGAGGACACTTCACAGATGTCACACATACCTACACCGAGGGAGATCTCCCACCAGGGATGAGCAACACACCTAAGCCCAGCACTCAGAGGAAGCAAAAGGACCATGAATTGAAGATTAGCCTAAACCATGTAGTGAGTTCAGGGCCATCCCGGACCTCAGAGAGACCCAGCCTCAAAAAAAACAAAAGAAAAGGCAGACATCTTACAAACACCCAGAGACCCAGCCTGAAAAAAACAAAAGAAAAGGCAGACATCCTACAAACACCCAGTACTCGTCAAAGGAATGAAGATGAGGAACCCAGACTGTGGAGGCTGAGGACAGGCTGAGAAAGGATACAGAAAAAACAAATCCACCTTTTAGTCAGGAGTGGAAGGTCTTTGTGCCACTTGATATTTTACATTGTATTTTTTTAATTAAAAATATTGCTTTACAATAGGAAAACTTGTTCTATTTTCCTTTGTTGGAGGTGTGGTTTGTTTTAGAAAGTGTCTCACTCTCTCATGTCCCTTTCTACTATATTTATTGGAAAATTCCATCATCAGGCTGGAGATGTCACTCAGTTAAGACAGTGCTTATCCAACCTGCACCAAGTACTGGACTTGATCCTAACCTTGCATAAACCAGGCATCGTGATACACTCTTATATTCCCAGCGCTTGGGAGATAGAAGCAGGAGGATCAGAACTCATGGGTGACCCTAGAGCCCTATCTCAACATAAGTAAATAAACAAAGATAAAAATGTAAAAATAAAAGTATGCTTACTGCCAATGGACAACACATCTTAAAATGGCTAGCTAAGGGGCTGCAGAGATGTCTCAGTAGTTAAGAGCAGGAGCTGCTCCTCCAGAGGCCCAGGTTCCATTCCCAGCTCCAACAGGCAGTTATCAACCATCTCTAACTCCAGTTCCAAGGGATCCCATGACCCCTTCTGGCCTCCATGGGCACCAAGCACGCATATAGTAGATATATATGCAGGCAAAACATCCATACACATAAAGTAAAATAAATAAATCTCATAAATATTCAAGTGGTTATCTGCAGTAGAAAACACCTGTAACCTCAGCCTCAGGAAGCTGATGTGACAAGAGTTCAAAAAAAAATAAAACCTTTAAAATCTAAATTTTATGTTGTTTAATGTAGTATAGCTTTTTAATAGTTGGGAGTAAGGCATACCCCATAGGTATAGCCCATGCATTATCTTACTGCTTGGACCAAATGAACTGAAGGGGTTTGTCCTGCACACACTCTGTGATGAGAAAAACAACCATTATCCTCCACATTCTTCGGCAGTTAAGCCAATGAAGAACAAACCCCACATTTTCCCCTCATTTTATTTGAAATTGTGCATACCCTGAGCTTCTATTTACAGAAGTCTATGATGCTTTGTTTCCTTTAGATCGATGGTCCTTCATCATTATTATAGGTTGTGGGACCATTTCCAGATGGGCCCCTCAAGGATCTCTGGCTGGGCTGAGGACAGGGTGCGATCTGTGGCTGTCCGCGGGCAGCCCAGGATGGGTGGTGAGCAGGCAGGGAGAGTTCGCTGCTGCCCTGCCCCAAACCGCATCTCAGTGCCTTCGAGGCAGCCCTGAGAAGAGAGAAGTGTTACAGCTCGCTGCTGCCCTGCCACCAACCGCGTCTCAGCGCCTCAGCGACAGCGGAGGCTGAAAGGGGAGAAGTATTACAGCTCTTTGAAGTGCACGGGCTGGCCTGCGACTACAGTGGGAAGGATCTCACACACATTTACTTCTGAGCTTGGCCAATATATACAGTTTTTGGGGTGGCAGCAGGTAACCCCTATTGGCTTGGTCTGAGAGCTTGGGAATGCCTCATATGCATGAAGGTGCTACTCCTATGTGATCACTGGCCATGGACCTCTCCATGGGAGGGGTTGTGGGGAGCTGAAGCTAAGAGAGCCAGATGACTTTGGGAAGCTCAAAGTGCTTCCCGTCCTAATGGCCTTCTTCAGACCAAGGTGCTGGGGCTTCTAGAGCTTTCTACCCAGCTTTCTGGCCTTTTCTCATAGCCTACTGCCCCAAAATAGGTAACTTACTAGGTTAGCATAGGTAACTCCAAGAATGCCAACAAGCCGCAAGCCACTGAGTCCTCATCTAAGGTACTGAAGCTACTTCATCAAGCTTGCACGTAAAACGCTTCAACTCTGAGAAAAAAATGAAAAATAAAAAAAACTACAAAGCAGGAACTTGGGCTCACAGGCGACCTAGGCAAGTACAAGATTTGGCCGACCTGCTTCAGAAACATCCCATCTTCTACCCAGGGCCTTGAAACTACTCAGACACTCAAGTCCAAGCTGCTCTCCCGGACGACCCAGCCCACACCACCTCATCCCAAGACTTACCTCATGCTGGGAATGGCATGGTAGCCCAATAGGAAGCGCAGTTGGCTGGATCCAGCAAAATCTGCTATCACCTTTTCCCCCACAGTGTGCATATGTTTGAGAAGTTCAAGGTGTTCACTGGTCACGACCTTCAGACTGGAAATGGAGGCCCACGGTAAGACCAGCCAGTGATGACGGGCCTTGGGGTACTTATCCTTCATCACCACCACCTGGTCATCTTTGTAAACCTAGCAGAGAGCACAAGGGAAGGAAAGAGACATCAGCTGGGGGTTCTGTGCGCGTGCCATCGACTCGTTCAGTCACTTATTTGGAAACATGGTGGAGAAAGTTTTAAGAAGTAGAGCAGACGCAGACACACTAACAGCGTCTTACAGCCATCAGTCGCATCTGTACACAGTGAGGAATCAGGGCTCCAGCCCAAATCCCATATGCTCCAGAGCCCATGTTTTCAAACACCACACTACATAGAATGCAGAGAAGACACACTGTACAAGAGTTCTCAAGAACTCAATGTTAAAATCTCCCCAGCAGACTTCAATCCCAGCTCTCTAACACAGACCTGGAATACATGTGTACAAACTTCAAGGAGGCCTGACTGAAGCAGACCTCAAAGGCTCCTCCAAAGATGACTGATGACTTCTTGCTTTTTTGTGTGTTTGTTTGTTTTTAAATAAATTATTTTATTGATAGTTTACAAGGAAGAGTATACTAACTAGGCAGTGTCAGATTATTTTTTTTCTTTTTTTTTAATTTGCAACTGAAGATTTAGAGTACAATTCTTTTGTAAAGTAAATGCTTTATCTAGTAGAAGGTCCTGCTTATTATTGGACACCTTTATATACACTATGGGTATTTCATATAGTTTGGGAATCATTAGGAATAAGGCTCTAGAGACATAGGGCATAAAGGATGGATATAGAAGTTCCCAGAAGTCATCTCATTGAGGCATCACTTACAAGACCAAGAGTTCGAAATCAGACTGGAAAGCCTATTTACTTTGCACTATATTGTCTTCTTCCCTTTAGCCATCTCTGATTCAGACCAACGTGCCTTATGGTCTGAATGTATTGGCTATTAATTGTTTGTTTTGGGGCAGTGGGCTATGAGAGGCAACTGAGTACCTGGTTGAGAAGGCTTTGAACCCCAGATACCCTCAGGCACGGTAGGAGTTTGACCTTGCTCCCAGGCCCCTGGCTCCTTTCACATAGCTACAGCTCCCCAGAGAGAGGTCTGTGGCCATAGGTCACATAGGACAATGCTCTTACTAGCCCTTCTACATGTAGAGGGTGTGACTACAGGCCACAGAGCCCCAAGACAGATCTTCATATTAATGAGATACCTGAAGGTCAGAGGGCATAGCCAATTAAGCATTCCTGTTTGATACCACAGAAGGCACAGCTAAATGGCTACCAAAAAGATTAATGAAATAAATAGATACCCCCACAAAGCCAGGCCCAACCATAAATAAGATGAATAACAATTGACATCCAGGGAAGAGAAATCTCCCTGAGAATTCCCTTCTTTTCCTTTCCAGGTAAAAATGAATCACCCATGATGTCTGCTGTTAGAAGTTCTAATCCACATGCTGGCCTCCAAACTTATACTATTCAGACCTTTGATGGGCCATTGACAAGAACATCAAACAGTTAGAGATTGACATCACTAATCTGAAGAAATCCCTCGTTTCGCTGTCTAAAGAGACCTCTAAAAATTTCTAAGGACTTTATTGGACTTGATTTACTCTTTTACAATAGAAAAGACTGTGTACAGCTCTTGACTGTGTACAGCCCTTAAATAAGAATGTTGCCTTTACATAGACAAGTCAGGGATAATTAAAGAGAGCATTATAAAGGTCAGAGAAGGCCCTGAGAAAAGACAGAGAAAGAGAAAGATGAGAGCTGGTACAAGAATTGGTTTTCAACCTCTCCATCATGGTTGTCAACCCTATTTCCTCCCATCTTGGGACAATTAATTGGGTTATTTTTGCTTACTTCTTTTCATCCCTGGGCCTTTAATAGGTTGACTAACTTTGTGAAACAACAGATAAATAATTTGGTAGCAAAACCTATTCAGATACACTATCATAAGTTAGTATGGAGGACCACGAGACTCAAGATGAGGTTGTTACTCTATCCAGGGTGTTCCCAAAACCCATCTCCACCCAACCTAAAAGAGGAGACTTCTGCCCCTAGACCTAGCAGAGAGGGGCCACCCAGAACCCCCTCTGACTGGCGATCTGGATTCTTGCATAGGCTGCGAGGCTAAGCACTGCAAGGGAATATAAATAAAAGTTAAAAATATCTCTCTGGGTTCCCTGAGAGACAAGCCTGACTGCATAGGGGTTGGTGTCAAAAGTATACCCTCTCCAGGAAAAAGACATCGAGATGGGTATGGCATGCCTCACTGGACAACAACAGGGGGACCGGAGCCACTACAAAGTCCCCTTCAATTAGTGGAGGTCAGGCCTCTATCTTTGCCAGATTAGAATCGCCACAGACCTTCTATACTTAGAGAAGGGAGGAGATGTCAGGGGCAGCCCTGCTTATACACTGAAGGCCTAAAATCAACCATAGGCCTAAAATCAGCAATAGGCCTGTCATACATGTATACTAACACCAAGTCTTGGGTCTCAGTGGAAAAACATTGAAACAGATGGCTATAAGCTATTGTAAACAGGCAGCTTTTGTGGAAATTTACCAGCCTGAGTAGTCATAGACCTCGTAAATAGGTAGCCTTGGCAGATTATACCAACTTAGATAAGGACAAGTGAATCATAGGCAGTCATAGTGACCTGTCCCTGAACCTTCACCCAGTGGATACCCTATTCTGAAAGATATCTGTATTCCCCCTGAATACCCATGCTCTAGTGTCATCCCTTTCCCCCACATCCTGCCTTTTTGTGTTTATAACCCCTCTGTGAATAAGTAAAAATTATGATTTGATTTAAAAAAAATAAAATAAAAAAATAAAGATCTAGTCCAATTCCAGTTTGATTGGAGGTATGGCTTCATTAGGGAGGGTTAGGCAGAGGTATATAAAGGCTTCCGTGGAGACAGATAAAATATTCAGAGACCTGGAGCCTGGATAGCTGCCTGGTTTGGCTGGGACTCAGAGACCTACCTGCAGTGCTCATGAGTGATGACTTCTGACATGGAGACAGCATTACTACAGTCACCATCTGATGATCCCTTCAAAGGGACCATGCTCAGGTTAGCAAAATTTCTTTTTTTAACATTTATTCTTTATTTGGGGAGACCATAGGACAACTTATGGAGTTCATTCTCTCCTCCTGCCATGTTGATTCCAGGGACTGAACTCAAGTCATCAGCCTTGGCAGCAAGCATCCTTACCCACTAAGCCATCTCGCCAGTCCATAATCTCTCCTAACAGCACCCAGACGGTAAAAAGAAACAAAGCAGACAGCATAGTCATCTCAAGTGTCACTTAGGGTTTAACACTTTCACTATCAATTACATTTACACACTTACTTACAACAAGAGAAGGAAAAGCTATGAGAGCTCAGGCTAGAGACAGCTTACATGCTCTTCTGTGACCCGCAGCCATCAACGATGAACGGATAATGTGCTATATATGCAAAATGGAACAGTATTCAGCCAATCTGGGGCTGGCTGTGGAGGTGTATGATTTTAATCCCAGCACTCAGGATTATCTCTGTGAGTCTCAGGAAAGCCTGGTCTACATTGCATTTCAGGACACCAGGGCTATAGAAAGAGACTCTGTCTCAAAAAAGGAGGGGGGTGGGAGCGCTGGAGAGTTGTACTAGCTGTTTGTTCTTCCAGAGGATCCAGGCTTGATTCCCAATACCCACACGGTGGTCCATAATCATCTGTAATTCCAGTCCCAGGGGATTCTTCTGGCATCCTCAGGTACCAGACACAGACATACATACAGGCAAAACACCCTTCACATTAAAATAAATCAAAATATTTTTCAAATAAAAAGAAAAAGGAAATCACAAAATCTACAGGAAAATGGATGGACTCAGAAAGTATAATACTAAGCAAGGTGATCCAAAATCAGGAAATTTTCATATATATGGCTCCTAGCCTATAATGTATGCATGTATATGTGGAAATGGCTATTAAGTGTGGGTACAGTATAACATTTAATGAGACCAAGAAATGTGGTATTAAGTGATATTGTATAGAAAAGTACAGTAAACAGAATCCCACTAGGAAGAACTAACATCCTTTGGCTTCATATACTTTATTTTTTTAATTTTTTTGTTTGTTTGTTTGTTTGTTTGGTAGGTTGGTTGGGTTTTTTGGTTTTTCTTTTTCTTTTTTTTTTACAGATTTATTTATTTATTTATATTATATGTATCCACCATTGCTCTCTTCAGACACACCAGAAGAGGGCATCAGACCCCATTGCAGATGGTTGTGAGCCACCATGTGGTTGCTGAGAATTGAACTCAGGGCCTCTGGAAGAGCAGCCAGTGCTCTTAACCACTGAGCCTTCTCTCCATTCCCTTTGGCTTCATTTATAATTACGACTTTTGTATCGTGGTCATGTATTACATGACAAACACTAAATTTATAGTTTTATTCTGACCTGCACTTTGGGGTCTTTCATAGACAACTTCAAGCCTTGACTCCAGTGGCCCAGTGATTCCTAAATAAAAAAAAAAAAAAAAAAAAAACATTGTAAATGTGATGCCAATAGTTAAATGGAGTTAATACTACTTATCAGCAAAGTCTAAATACAACACAGAAGTAAGGTCAGTTTTTGAGAATTACACTAGACTTCCTTTACTTCAGTCCATCGCCCTTTAGGACCACAAGCCTCCCCACTGTCTTCTACATTTAGAACTGGGTGTAAGGATGGAGGCCTGCTGTGGAACTTTGTCAATGTGCAAGGATTGCTATTGCAAATAGGAGCAGCTGTGATCCCCTGAATAACACTGTGACCAGACTGGGCCAAATATTCACTCACTGGGGGGGTTAGGAGGGAGGAGACACAAACAGCTTTCAGCTGCTGGAGAGGGGGACTCCTGTCTGACGGGGTAGTCACACTTATGTTGCCCCTGCTCCTGTAACCACCATCAGACTCACTGGTTCACCAACTTAAACTTGGGTGGAATGGTTGGTCTGTCATTAGTGCCATATCTGGGGTGAAGAGACATCTGTTCACATCTCCCCAGTAAAAGTTCCTTAAGGCCAAAACTGCCAGAGTACAAAACAGCCTCCTTGCCTGTTGACACTCCAGCTGCAGCCTAGCCAAGTGTCTCCTTTGACATCAACATGTGAATAACAGTATCTAGGAAGGCTTTAATGTGACATCAACATGTGAATAACAGTATCTAGGAAGGCTTCAGTTTGACATCAACAAGTGAATAACATTATCTATTGAAGGCTTCAGTGTTAACAACCAGACAGACAAGCAAATAACCCATGTTTGTATTAAACATTAATTTCACTATTATGGGAAACAGATGTGTGAGGAGTGGATGAAGTCCTGAATGAGTGTGTGTTGTTGCCATGACCAGTCATGGCAAGGACCTCAGTGCCTACATGGATTCCCCAGATAAGGCCCAGAGGGATGGCAAACCCCTCCTCTGGTCCAAGTGCCAGTGTTTACAAATGACTGGCTAGGCAGTGTATGCAGAAACCACCAACCACAGCTCCTCCTCCAAGATGTTTACAGCCTGAGACTGCTCTCTCACAGAGACCTCCTACCAGTATTAGCTAAACCTGTCTCCTGGTTCAGCTATATACAATAGACCCACCTCCTCAATTCAGATGTATAAAATAATCATGCTGAGTTTCTGGGCTGTTGGTGGTGCTGCATCTCCATTAGAGAGCACAGCCGACCTAATTCCAGCTTTTCTCTTTCTTTTTAATTTGGATATTTTATTTATTTACATTTCAAATGTCATCCCCTTTCCAGTTTCCCCTCAAGAAACCCTCTGTCTCATTCTCCCTTCCCCTGCTTCTGTGAAGGTGCTCACCTAACCACCCATCCCCTCCTGCCTCCCTGCCCTGGCATTCCCCTACACTGGGGCATCAAGCCTTCCCAGGACCAAGGGCCTCTCCTCCCACTGACAACCTACAAGGCCATCCTCTGCTACATATGCAGCTGGAACCACGGGTCCCTCCATGTGGACTCTTTGGCTGGTGGTTTAGCTCCCAGTAGTTTAGCCAGAAACTGGAAACATCCTAGATGTCCCTCAACTGAAGAATGGATTAAGAAGATGTGGTTCATCTACACAATGGAATACTACTCAGCATGAATTTTGCAGGCAAATGTATGGAACTTGAAAATATCATCCTGGTGAGGTAACCCAGACCCAAAAGGACAAGCATGGTATGTGTAACTGCCCATTCTGCTGCTCCAGTCTATGGGTCAGGGCCTAGCAAGAGAGAGAGTGGGGACAGGGATGCGAAGAATAGAGACAAGACAGGGTCTGATCTGGAGACAGAGTCTACTCTGGAGACAGAGTCTGAGTCTGCTGAGTCTGTTCTGGAGACGGAGTCTGCCCTTTTATATCTCTCCTCAAGTCTTGCCTTGAGTCTCGCCTTTAATCTCTCCTTGGGTCTTGCCTTGAGTCTCTCAAGTGCTGGGATTAAAGGCATGTGCTACCACTGCCTGGCCTTGATTGAAAGGATCAAGGTAATTATCAGAGTGTGCTCAGCTGTTGTAGGCTGTTGAAAACAAGTCTCTTGTCGGGGTATATGGCTCAAATGGCTGCAAAGATGATAGCTGCTTTCTGCTCAGAGTCGGCTCCCAACAGGTCCCCCTTTTTAAATTTGTTTTTAAAAGGAAAGGCTGGGAAAACTTATGGAAACCGTGCCTGTCTTAGATTGGAACAAAGGACCCCAGCCTCCCTTTCCCGTCTCTGGATACTCAACAGCCATTGGTTGAGCTCCTGTCTTAGGATGGTGAGGCCTCTCAGTTTGGGGCAAGGGTCTTGAAGTGTTCTCTTACCCATCATTGACTATCTGGCTTAGCGCATAAGTTAGGGGTTAATCTTCGTCAGTCTTGATGACAGAGGTTTTGGAGTCCCCTACTTCCAGCCTGTAATAATGGACCTGTATGGGTTTCATTTGAATAGCGTCTATCTATTGTCGTACAAAAGCCATCAGTTTGTTGAACAGCATGAACCCAAGAGACAAGAGATTTAGCAATGCCTGAATGATTATTGCAAAAGCAACACTCTTTTTAGGGTAACACAAAACTCCCTCTGTTGGAGTAAAAAATATAAGCCTCTTCTATTCTGTAGCACTATTTCAGCTAAGAAGGATAATGAATTTTACAAATGCATTATACCAGATTCCATTCTTTCTAAACCTAAATCTATAGAAGTACAGAACTGATCATAGCTTTGATCTTAACAAAACAAATAAAGAAAATCCCCGTTCCTATCCCAGTCAATCCTAAACCCAAAAAACAGTTATAGTAACTGTGGTAATGGGTTTTCTCCCGAGTCTAAACAATGTACCCCACTAAATCATAAATCAGGGAACCAAAAGTCCAATAGAGCCACCCTGGAGGTGTGGGTGGTGATGTCTTCTTCCACACTGAGAACTTCCCAAGTCTGGTATGCTGGTTGATCCGCTCCTGTTTGAAGACAATTGTGAAGCATCTTCATGTTTCCTGTAAAGAAAAAATACGCTTCTCAGAGGGTTTCTCCTCCCTGGATTTGTTGTTGTTGTCTATTTTGTTTGATCAGTCTCTCTGGCAGCCAGCATGCGGCATCGGCCGTTTGGGAATATATGCAGATAGAACCTCTTCCCCAGATAAGCACTGGATCTGGCTCATTCCAGGTTCCAGTTAATGGGTCTTTCCAGAGGACTGTTGCAAAATTCTTTTTGGTATCAGGATGCCAGAATCTGTCTGCAGCAGATTTTCCTTCAGAATCCAAAGTTAAAAAATTTAAAATAAAGAGCGTGTGATGAAGGATATTTCTGGGGGAATCCCTTAGTAGGGTACCATTCCTCATTTTTAATTTTTTCGAATTGACATTTAATGGTTTGATGTGCCCTTTCTATCATACCTTGGCCCTGTGGATTATATGGAATACCTGTTTTATGTAGTATTCCCAATTTTTCACAAAATTGGTGGAAACTGGAGCTTGTATAACCTGGGCCATTGTCAGTCTCGATCTGTTTTGGCACACCCAATACAGCGATTGTAGCAAGCATATGTTTGATCACATGTTTGCTTGCTTCTCCAGTTTGTAATGTCGCATAAGTGAAACCACTGTTATGTATCTACACATACATGTATATATTTTTGATTTCCAAATTCATTATAATGGGTAACATCCATTTGCCAGAGACTGTTTGGTATCAGTCCCTTTGGATTCACACCTAAATGAGGAACTGGTAAAAGTTTAACACATGATTGACATTGTTTGACAATTTGTCTAGCTTGTTCTCTGGTAATTTTAAACATGACCTTTAAAGTTTGCGAATTAAGGTGATGTAACTCATGAGCCTTTATGGCCTGTTCTAAGTTAGATGACAGATCTGATAAAGTCACTTCGGCTATACGAGTGGCTAGATCTGCCTTGGTGTTTCCTTCAGTGAGAAGACCTGTGTGGGCTCTCAGGTGTCCTATAAAGAATTTATACTTTCTCCTCAAAATTAGTTGTTGGCACTGTAAAAGCAAATCAGCTGCTTCTGAGGAGTGCTTTATTTGCGCAGCAGTTTCTAGCAGAGGAATAGATTGAGCTATATATGAACTATCTGTGTAAATATTAACGGTTTGATTTGGAAATGCTTGAAACACAGCAACAACAGCATGTAATTCAACCAATTGAGCTGACACAGCTGATGTAGCAAAGGAAATTACTTGATCCTTAAAGGCATAAACAGCCGTTCTTGATGAGGACCCATCAGTGAAAACTAGCAATGCTTCCTTTATAGGTGCATGTGCAGTACAAGATGGAAAAACAAATGCATGGTGATTACAAAATTGAACTAATTTGTCTGGTGGATAGTGGTTATCTAGTTGACCACCAAATGAAGCACATGCTTTAGGCCAAACTTTAGAACTCTGCATAAGCCAATTAACCTGATGTCTTGTATATGGTTGTACTATGACATCAGGATCTTTTCCAAAATATTTTCGACTGTTATCTCTGTCTAACATAATCATATCTGCTACAGCTGCATAGTATGGATAAAGAATCTTTTTAGGGGATGAGGGAAGATGAACCCATAATATGGGTGCAGTTTGCCAAAAAACTGCAGTAGGAGTTAGTTTAGTGTTAAAAATAAGAAAATATAAAGGCTTAGAATAATTAATATGAGTTACAAATTGGGATGAAATAGCATTCTCAACCTTCCGTAAGGCTTTTCTACCCTCCTCTGTTAGAGCCCTGCCAGACTTAGGGTCAGAATCTCCTTTGAGAATGTCAAACAAAGGTTTCAACTCTCTTGTCGTAAGTTTCAAATATGATCATAGCCAATTAATGTCTCCCAACAGTTTTTGAAAATCATTAAGTGTCTTAAGGGAATCAGTCCTCAAGGTGGCCTTACTGTTAATAATATGTGGACCATTAATCTGAAATCCTAAATAAGTATATGAATCTTGTAATTGTACCTTTTCTGGTGCTATTTGTAACCCTGCAGTCTATAAAGCTGTTTTAACATCATCAAAGCAT